TTTTTTTTTTTCTTCCTCCAAAAGATTGTTTGGACAGCCTTTTACATGTGTGTGGAGGAAAGAGCATTCAATGGGGTGTCAGAAGACCTGGGATCCAGCTGTGGGAACTTGTGGCAACACCTCCCTCTGAGCCTCAGGGGAAAATGAGAGGACTAAATTAAGTGGCCCTGACGGTTCTTCCCAGCTCTCACATTCTGTGATCTGTCCTCAACAGTAATATCTAGAAACTAAAGAAAAGCAAAGTCAAGGGTATGTGTCTCCCACGAGAATGGAGAAGTATGGCCTATTTACCCACTGGCCACAGGGATATCGTACCCTTTTTCTCTTCTCCCCATCCATCCCAGGAGTCTTTTCTGAAAACTCCCCCTGGGGGCCTGGAGGTTAGCTGTGTGGCTAACCTGACCCTTAGAAGTTTGCTCTGTGTTGCAGAGTCCTTCACCCCAGATGCATGCAGACATGATCAGAACCTATAGACGAAAACTTCTTTGACTCTTGGCTGCCCATGTGTGCATTCTCATAGACTCACACACCCTGAGGAGTATGCACACACGTCCCTTTGTTCACTTGAGATTCTTTTCCACTCGAAATACACATTCTCTAAATATATCTGTGAGCTGGTCATGAAGAAACAATGAGTTTTACAGTGCAGCTTTTCGACTACCCAACTGTATCGTCATTGACAAACAATTGAGTTTGGCAAGGGGAAATTCTCAAGAATAGCCCAAGTAAGGACACTTTATTTTTAATCCTCACTCGAGGATATGTTTTTTATTTATTATAGAGAGAGAGGAAGAGAGATGGAGAGAGAAAAAAACATCGATTCTAGAGAGAAACATGGATTGGTTGCCTCCCCTATGTGCCCCGACCTGGGATTGAACCCGAAACCTGGGCATGTGCCCTAACTGGGGAATCAAACCTGAGGCCTTCCAGTGTACAGGATGACACTCCAATCAACTGAGCCACACTGGCCAGGGCAGGGACAGATTTTTTTAACCACTGAGAATGGTCCCTTCTATCCACACTACTTTCAAACTATTCCCCCTGCTGCAGAGGCATCTGAGTTTGCAGCATGATAAACTAGGGGCTGAATATAGTGGATGAAGGGACAGTGATCTGCCCTAAATCTGAGCAGTTTCCTGGGAAACAGCTCTTGGGGCAGGAAGAGAGGGGTTTCTTCTGCATTTCACTTCCTATGTGTGATCTAGATGTCTCTACCCTTGTCCATCTGACTACCTCCTTTTAAAATGTAGGTGCGGATAAGCACGCACTGTTCTGTGTGCGTGGCGAGGGGAAGGAAAACTATTTGTAGTGTGTTGTATCAGACTCTGTTGCAGGAAATTGTTGTACAAAACAGGCATCTCCCTGTCTGTGATGTTACCTCCTCCATTTTTGATGGCCTTCCCCTTATGTGATTGCTCACCAGCAGCACCTAGGCAACACCTTAAGGCAAAGCATCTGCTTGCTCTTAGTAAAAAAAATAAAAAGTTAAGTATCAGGATGTACAAGTCACTCCATCTGTATTAGAATTTTTAATATTTATCATCATCAAAATGAAATGATATTAAGTACTCGGCTGTAATGTCACACTAGACATTATTGGGTACATTTCCTTCGAGGTATTTGTCATACAGCTAATATCACTTAGAGAATCAGAAACTCTGGGATCCTGCAACAGAGTTTTAACAAACCATCCTGATTCTTATTCTCATTTTCTTGCATCTGGATTTTACCAATTGTTAAGCTTATTAAAAATTCCACAGTGTCTTTAAAGGGCATTCCTTGGAATTTTACACTTTTTGGAGCCCTCCAAAACTTCCTGTATATTGCAGGTCTATATTAAGAATGACAAGACACAACCCATGTTTGCTCTACTTTATTTGAAGTCAAGAGGGGAAAAAAGAGGACATTTTCTTGCCCTATTTCTTGTCTAGATCTTTTCAACACCCAGGCAGCCATTCAAAATATTTTAATTTCTCCTTCCTTCAGTAATTTGGAAACTTTTACTGCTCTCTTTCACCCATCACAGAATAAATAGTGCAATAGCTGTGGCACGGTTGGTTTCCTTTACACGTGCATTTTGAAGGCAGCCCCAAGTACTCAGCATGTACTGACTTTGCTGAGCCTTTCTAGAAAGAAGGCTATTTAAGAGAAGTCACATTTGTCTCCATCTCAAGACATATATTAAACATCTGTTTCAATGGTTTCTTATTGAATTGTTTGAGTCAATTTTATTAAAGGCTTAACAGACAGTGATTCTGATCCGTGGGTTAGAAGATGTAGTTGTAGGAGGACCTTACTAATTATAGGAAGTGCAAGTTTGAAAAGGCTCAGATCCAGGGTGGAGACTGGATCAATTAAGAAGAGGAAGACCTGGGTTAAGAATTAGGAGTGGACTAGGGCTCGGCACCTGGTAAATGCGAGGACATGGTGAAAGGAGTACTAGATATACATGGGCTTGAATCCTGGCTCTGCCACTTCTTAGCTGTGCTAAACTGAGGCAGGTTAGTTTAGCTACATGTGCTTGTTTCTGCATCTTTAAAATAAGGTGATAATAGATATTCCTTTATAAAATTGTGGTGAAGGTTATATGAAGTAATCCATGTAAAATCTGTAGCACTGTGCCTGCCATTGAGTAGGCACTGGACAAATGACAGCTCTTATTATCTACCCATAAGGATCCAGGAGTCAGGCACTGCTCCAAGCAGATCACCATGGCTGCTGTAACACCCTTCCCCCTCTGAGGTTTGTCTGGATTTACAGTTTGGAGGGAAATACCCTTCAAATGGGTGGTGATGGCTTCTTCCACTCCTCAGAAGTTCACTGCCCCTACCCTAGTGAGCTCAGGCCATGAGAATCATTCCTTCCCATCACACCTACGAAAGAACAGGGGCTCCTTGAAAGGATAGGGTACAGAAAGCAAGGTCACCCTGGTCCTCCAAGAAAATAGCAGGGTGGAAATGTGAGGGGGAGGGGGAGAGAGAAGTACTGAAGGGTTGTAGGGAGTGATGAGCAGTGGGGGTTGGGGTGGAGTGCATGATGCTGCAGTGGGAATTCAGGAGCTGGGGAGGCTGCCATCAATCAAGTGAGAAATGAGCACAGCCTCAGGTAAGTCTGTAACTTAGGACAGAAGAAAAGTGCAGATTTGGGAAAAGAAAGGAGCATATGAGTAGATTTGACAAGAGATGAGTTGGGAATGAAACATCACTCTTCTCCCTGCATCACAGCCATACTGCAACAGATGCGAGGCGAAAGTCAGAAATGAAAGGAGGAACGAAACACCCTGTGTGCCTGATGGATGAATCTGACAGGTAGTTCAGGATGGAGAGGAAGAGCCAGTTCATGGCTGTGATGCTTAAAACTTATAGTACCCTTAGAGACAGCACAGAAGGACCTGCAGAGTATTATGCTAAGCGAAATAAGTCAGTCACATGATCTCACTTATTTGTGGAATCTAATGAACAAAATAAACTGACGAACAAAATAGATCCAGAGACAGGGAAGCATGGCACGGACTGGTGGATCTCGGAAGGGGGGAGAGAGGCAGAAAGAGATTAACCAAAGAATTTATATGCATATATGCATATCCCATGGACAGACAATAGTGTGGTGAAGGCTTGGGGTAGGGTGGGAACTGGGTGGAGTGGGGAAAAGGAGGGAAATTGGGAACATCTGTAATACTATCAACAATAAAGATAAATTTAAAAAACAAAACCCAAAAAACTCACAGTACAGTGCTGTGGTGGTGGCAGTTTAAATGCAAATTTATTAGACTTGGTAAGTCCAGGAAGTGTTTATCACATGTGAATTTAACTTTTAAAAACTTCTAAGAGAAAAAAACCTGAAAGTTCCTTGACAGATTATTATTGTAATTTCTGAATATTTT